TTTTGTTTATTTATTAGGTTTTTACCCCTCCTCTCTAGACAATGTCTACTCGGGGCGGCTTACATGGATAAAAACACAATAGTATAACATGTATAAATTCATTTGAAATACACTTATAACAATTAGTTCCAACAACACAATTTTGGACTTTCATGTCCCCCCCCCCCTTTTTACCACCTCAACTGAGGAAGAGTTCTGGAGAACTCAAAAGCTTGCTCACCATTAATTTAATAATTGCACTTTATCAAATTGATTCCAACTTTTGTCAACCCTTTCCCTAATTTTGTTTTGGTATAGAATACTCAAAAGTGTTTGAACATCCCCTTCTTCTTGGATACTCTGGGATGGGTCAGGTTGCCCAAGGCTGAGACACAGTCTGGAACTGAACTCCCAGCCTCAGGCTTTATTTATTTATTTGTTTATTTGTTTGTTTGTTTGTTTGTTTGTTTGTTTGTTCGATTTATATCCCACCCATCTGGTATATTCTACCACTTTGTCGTCAGATGCCCAACTAGTATCTCTGTTGCTGCACCTAGACTTTTGAACTCCCTCCCACCGGAGGCCAGGCTGACCCCATTTTTGCTCTCCTTCCACAAGTAGGCAAAGACCTTTCTCTCCAGGCAAGCTTCCCCTTAGTGACTGGCTGCCTGAGTGGGTTTTTTAAATTGATGGTTGTGCCTTACTGCTTTGAATCTGTTGTTGGCATTGCGTTGCTTTTAGTTTTTGTATACTTACTGTTTTTAGCTTTAAATACTGTCTTTTAATGATGTAAGTTGCCTTGGGTGCTTTTTAAGGAGAAAGATGGGGTAAACAAACAAACAAATTTGGGGATCATGTTATGATTCTTGGGCTTATGGTGTGGATGTTGTCTACTTGCGAACTAAAACACAGGCAAAATGACTTGGCACTCAAAACCACGCAAACCCCATCACAATCACAAATTGGCATATTTGTAAACTCTTCCTATAACATGATAATCTACTTAGGTGAGTAACTTTTAGGAGCTCTTCCTTGCCTAAAAATCCATAGAAACCATGGGAACATGAGTTATGAATATCTGCCAACATGGTTCTGCCCCCTCTTGTTCCTGTCTCCTTGGACCTTCTGATAACCTTGCTTTTGATGCTGATGCTGATGCTTCTACAAAGGAAGGGTTCCTAATGCAAGCAATGATGGTGAATCCCAGGCCTCTGCAGGGAGCCCTGCCATGGTTCTTGCATCATACTTAGTACAAACCAAGGAACCCACTTCAGACATGTGAGTGCATAACATGGTGGCTTATCCAGTTTCAAGATCTGGTGGGGAAATGCGTGAGACGATAATGAATGAGGTTGACTCCTACAGCTCTGTGCAGAAAGGAAGCTGGGAGGAGAAGGTGGAAAACAGGTAGATAATTTTGAAAGATGTTACCTGGAGCACTGAACGTTACCCAGGTGGTGTGGTTTAATGCAAGAGGTATATATACACAGCTGCCTGGTGCACAAAGCAGCAGACAAAGGCAGAGCCACTTCATCCTTCCATTCGGCTGGATAGCAGGAGAATACTTAGTTCCAGGTGCTCTCTTGGTAGCGAGAATGCCTCCGCAGTCGGGTGCTACTGTGGGAGAACCAGAACCTGGCTCAGGCATTGGACAGTTTTTCACATGGGAAGAGATAGGACTCCGCACAGGGAAAGGAAACGCCAAAGAAGAGAGATGGCTGGTCATTAACAGGAAAGTCTATGATGTCAGCCAGTTCTTTAGGCGGCACCCGGGAGGAATGAGTGTCATCAGCCACTATGCAGGACAAGATGCCACGGTGAGATTTTTACTATGTGAGCTGGAGCCGTTGAGGATGCCATAACTAGGGGGCAGAGTATGTGTGCTGCATATGTAAAATCTCATCTCTGATTGATATCCTCTCAGTTATCTCCAAGGATCTCAGCTAGCAGATCTGAAGAAGTTTCTGCCTGAGGTCCTGGAGAAGCATTGCCAATGTTTGGGTGGATGGTCAAATCATCAGATACAAAATAAGGCCAATTTCCACTGTCCTTATGTTTCCTTGGCAACTTTCTCTAGCTGTGAGACCACTGGTGCAGAAATAAATTTGAAAGTACCGTAACTCATATAACAGTCCCCATAGCTAGCCAGACAACCCCACTTCAAAGTCCAAAACTCGAGGCAGGCTGATGGATCCATAGCTAAAAAATAGGAGCATTTTAATGGTTCTAATGGCCCATTTTGATCTTTTGAATCAATTTTTTGATCTTTCCATTTCTCAGAGGGGCATTTTAAAAATTGGTATACTTATTCTTCCTAGCTTTCATATTGCCTTTTAATGATGTAAGACGCCTCTTTATATACATTGCTCTTAGCTTTAAATATTGTCTTTTAATGCTGTTAAACCATCGTTGTATACTCATTGCTTTCAACTTTAAATATTGTCTTTCACTATTGTAAGCTGCCTTGGGTCCTTTCCAGTGAGAAAGGAGGGGTGAAAAATATTTTAAATAAATAAAATTAATTAATTAATTGCCTATTCCAGACTAAACCATTCTCACATTGCATCGCACTGGGGATGATCTGCAGCCAAGGAGTTGTAAATTTCCCTTCCTCATCACCTGTACATTTAGCTAAATGTACAGGAAGCATGGAAAATTCAAGTGCTTGGCTGAGGATACCATAGCCCCAGCCACTCAAAACGCCCTGGGGCTTTGGCACTGCAGGCTCTGATCCTGCTATACCACTGTATGGGACAAAGTGTCACCAAGATTCAAAACAAAGTGAGATGGACATGAAGGGCTGGAAAAACCCCTCCCAGGAGGAGACAGTTTAAGGGAGATTGTGTTTAGACTTTGATGAATGGAACAGTAGTGTGCAGCCCAGCCTTGCATAACAGAAAATGGCATATAACAGATGACTATTCTGCACATGGCTTGAAGAAATGAAACCGGCTGCTTTTGACGGGACTTCAGCAGCACAACTATATGCAGGATTGCAAATGTAGCCTTTGAGACATTGCCCAAATGCAGTCATTCAAGAACTAGCAAGACTTGAGTGCCAACAGTAAAAGAGGTTCAATCAGGGCATGTCTTCTCACCCAAAATATTTGAAGTGCTGAGAAAAGCCAAGAACGTTTTGGCAAAATCAATGAATTTTTGCAGGCTTTCTGTTTTAACACTTTTCAGTGAGTGCAATAGAGACCATTTTCCTGGTAGGCATGGTTAGAATTACAGCCTGAGTGGTGTATTGAATAACAGAACAGTTCATACTGCCAGTATATTTGAATTAAATATTGTGATCTCTCGGGTAAAGCTGTTTTGCTAGAACTGTTATTTTGTGGGTATTAGATCAAGGGTAGTCTACAGAAAAACAATTGGACATGGAGTTCATTTCAGAAGATTGTCTGGAGGAGAGACATAAATGTTAATGCAATATTCCTATATTATCATCTCAAACATTAAAAGGTAAAGGTTCCCCTTGACAATTTTTGTCCAGTCGTGTTGGACTCTAGAGGGCGGTGCTCATCCCCGTTTCCAAGCCATAGAGCCAGCGTTTTGTCTGAAGACAATCTTCCGTGGTCACATGGCCAGTGCGACTTAGACATGGAACGCTGTTTACCTTCCCACCGAGGTGGTCCCTATTTATCTACTCGCATTTGCATGCTTTCAAACCACTAGGTTGGCGGGAGCTGGGACAAGTGACGGGCGCTCACTCCGTCACGTGGATTCGATCTTACGACTGCTGGTCTTCTGACCCTGCAGCACAGGCTTCTGCAGTTTAGCCCGCCACGTCCCTCATCTCAAACATTAAAAACAGTTAAATATAACAATAAAGGGAATTATGAATTCACCTTGTTAAATTAGAGTCAACACACTAGAAAAGATTTGATTTTGGAGTATCTTTTTTGTGCTTATTTACCCACTTCATGAAATTTACAGGTGGAATTCTATTGGTAGAACTGATACTGTGTACATATGTCTAATGCTATAATTAGCAGCAGGAACCTTTCAGAAATTAAACATTTTCAACTTCTGCCCAAACTCCCTGTTGCCAGCCCTGACCGTCAAAGCAGAAGTACAGTATTTGCTGAGATCCCAAGGAAACAATACATCCGGTGTGCTTACAAGCAGAAAGTTTATTCAATAACTGAAAGGTACTCAGCAGCACAGGCTTCTGCAGTTTAGCCCGCCACGTCCCTCATCTCAAACATTAAAAACAGTTAAATATAACAATAAAGGGAATTATGAATTCACCTTGTTAAATTAGAGTCAACACATTAGAAAAGATTTGATTTTGGAGTATCTTTTTGTGTGCCTATTTACCCGCTTCATGAAATTTATAGGTGGAATTCTACTGGTAGAACTGATACTATGTACATACGTCTAATGCTATCATTAGCAGCAGGAATCTTTCAGAAATTAAACATTTTCAACTTCTGCCCAAACTCCCTGTTGCCAGCCCTGACCGTCAAAGCAGAACTATTTGTTAAGATCCCAAGGAAATAATACACCCAGTGTGCTTACAAGCAGAAAATTTATTCAATAACTGAAAGGTACTCGGGTGTACCCAATAAGCTGTAACAGATGACAGCCTGGCCTGTAAGTCATTGCAAGAAGTCCAAACAACCATTGGGCAGATCAGTTAGTTTTTATACATCTTTGCTGTTTACATACATAATCTATAGCTAAGCAATATCTCATTCTCTCTAAGGCATTGGTCCCCAACCTTGGGCCTCCAGGTGTTCTTGGACTTCAACTCCCAGAAATCCTGGCCAGCAGAGGTGGTGGTGGAGGCTTCTGGGAGTTGTAGTACAAGAACATCTAGAGGCCCAAGGTTGGGGACCACCGCTCTAAGGAGTAGTTACAGATATGTGAAATGCACCCACTCTGTGCCCCACCATGATAGACTAAGGTATACATATGAAAAATCACAAACAAGTTTGTGAGTGGTGTTCAATGAGCACATCTGTGGTCTCCAGCCCGCCTTTTCTGCCAAGCAGGGAAGCTTGGCCCTCCTTTGATCCATCTTTGTGCCAGGAGAATGCTGAAGCAGCCCCACTCAGCCAAGGAAAATGGAAGACAGGCCATCAAAATGGAAGACATCAGGCCCAGCAATGTTGCTGCATAGTCCCTTTCATCATTGGGCACACAAGGTGGGAGTTGTGGGATGGGAATGGAAAGTTTCGAACCATCAGATGTTGCCACATCAGCATGGCTTTCAGTGGTGAAGATTTTCAGTATTTAAGGATTATAGGTAAAAACAAAATAATTGTTTTTTAAAAGAATGAATGAAAAAGACAAAGACGTGGTGGCACCTTAAAGACTAACCGTTACAGTTTTTAATGTGATCTTTCCTGGGCAAGACCACTTCATCAGCTCTAAGAGAAAGAAATATAACAGGGCCAATGTTTATACATGGTATCAAAAAATCAAAATATAGTATCATATTAGTTGGTATGAAAGTCAGTGGGACTTTAATATTGTGGTGATAGCGCCTTTGATAGCAAGTATTACATGGAAGCTTGTGCTGTAAAGGATGTGAGAAACTCTGTCATAAAATAACAATGGCAAAATAACATAAATGTTAATTAAACTGCCTAATGAGCTTTCCACCCCACATAAAATAACAATGGCAAAATAACATAAAAATTAAACTGGCTAATGAGCTTTCCCCCCACTACAAACTTTCCTTTGTAATCAGTTGCAATGGAGTGTGAATTATCCTAGGCAATGGATGACCACAAGAGCAAAGAATCAGTTTTAACCTTTGAAGTTTCTGAGGTGGATCTGCTAAGGAGCAAAATATCTGGGAGATGCAGTACAATATAATACTTGTAGTGTTTATATTAAGGACTTTCTCCTTCTGTCTCACAGCTCCCAAGGATCCCGCATGTTGACGGAGATTACACAGGAATCTCAGGAGTTTTGGGACAGAACGTGGAAATGGTGTTGCTAATATCACCAGCCTTACATGGAATAAATTAGGCCAACAAAATTCTGGCCAGCATCAAATAACTATGTAGAACTTGATAACCTTCTAATGGTAACTAACTACTGTATATACAATTTGTTCTTGATATGTACCATCAAGTCATCTCTAACTTATAGTGACCCTATGGATGAGTGATACCCAAAATGTCCTGTCCTCAATAGCACTGCTCAGGTCTTGCAAACTCAAACTTGTGGCTTCCTTTAGGTAGTTAATCCATTTTGTATTTGATTTTCCATTTTTTTTCTCCAGACTTCAACCTTTTCCGCCTTCTCATGGTGTGAGTAGGACAGCCTCAGTTTCAACATTTTTGCCTCCAGAGATAGTTCAAGCTTGATTTGACCTGGGATCCATTTGTTCATCTTTCTGGCAGCCCATGATATCCACAAAGCTCTCCTCCAGCATCTCATTTCAAATGAATCTTTTTTGTTCAGTTGCTCCATTTCTCATGTTAGCTGCAACTGCAAAAGAACTTTCCTTAAAATTAGTGTTTTATCTTAATGTACACAGTCCACTATATTCCACTGCAACAAGATGTAACTCTTTGGGCTGGAAATACTGCTGCCATTAACATTTTTCAGAGGAACGTTCTAACAACGTAATGACAGGTTCTAGCTACCAGTGGGAATCCTTAAAAGGAATTTGAGCCAGCAGTATTTGCCATCTCTGTTAGGATATTTTAACTTTTACACATATACTTATTACATAGGAAAATGTAATGTTTTGTAGTTTGTTTTATTTGTACATTTGCATATTGGTCTTTGACTATATTAAAGATTTATCTATCTAAAAAGAAAGCATCTTTTATCAGTAAACTTTGGGAAGGTAACTTTTTGGTGACTATAGCTTCCAGACTTCCTCAGTGGCCATGCTGGCTAGGGAAGGGGTTCTGGGAGAGGTCACTGAAAAAGCAGCTTTCTCAAACTCTGAATGAGATTTTCTACCACAGATACCATTTTTAAAAGTTGGCAGGGACATAGTAACCACCCTCTCCTGAAACTCTTTGCACCCCACAAGAGGTTGATTGACTCATCCTTTATCAGTATATAATCTGTGAAAGCAAAAGAGATACAGAATGGGTGAACATCCACCCACAGCCCTCTTGCTCAGTTGTGTGACTAATCCAGGAAGAAAACTTATAATTTGGTAAACAAGGAGCTGTTGTGGAGGTTGACTATGTTGAACAGGCCTTGGAGAATGAAGGGCATCACAGATGATCCCACAGTATTGAGGGGCTGTAGGGTTTTTTTTAAAAGAAAATCAGCACAAAATGATGAATGCTGAAGAATATTAGTCTGACATATTCCCCCCCCCAGTGATTTTTCATAAATCTTTTCTGCCACCATTTGGGGGGAAAAGCCATCAGCAAAAGCCTGCCCAGTCTTCAAGCTTTTTGCAGTCTGTGTGTCTAAGAAAGGAGTGACTCCAGATCCCATTGGCCTATTCCTGTGACTTCAGATACAAAATGAATGGTTTGGTGTTAAGAGTCGATATTTAGAGGAACAGTCTGCTTTCCATTTTGTTTGGCTAAGCAAAGCTGTTTCGGTGTTCTCATGGCTGAAATATGGAGCAAGGGATGGTCAAGGAAGGTTTTCAGCACCAGATAACAGACGTGCTTATCAAATGCTGCTAATGAGCTTGTTTGTACTTCAGTTATGAATATCTGAGCTTATCATGGTGGGACGACACTGAACAGGCAGTAGTTCACATGCCTGTATCACTCTTCAAGGCCTAATGTAGTAGTGATGTATTACTCAGCTATAATTGGGTTGTTGGGCTTTTTTTGATATGACGTTAACAGCAAAAATATAGCTGTACCCAAAGGGAGTGTGGACTACTTGTGCTGACTTGTGCGACATGCTGTTGTTCATTCCAACCTACTGGTACACCTGTGCCTTGTAAATTACCTGGAGCTTGACTGTCATTTCCTTGGGATCCTCTCAAGTCCTGATTTCTCCACGGCCAGGGGGTCCATCGGGTCAATTACAAGAAAGTGAATTCACATGACAGTGGAGGAGTAGGGAACTTGAGGCCTTCCAGATATTGTTGGGCACCAATTCCCATCAGGCTCAGCCAAGCCTGGCTAATGAGGAAAAATGGTGCAGTAGCACTTCATCAACATCAGTGCAGCTGGGTGTATCACAGGCTTCTGCCCCAGTTCTACTGCCAAATATCTCCAGTTTCTCTCAACTGGAGAAATATGGCAGTACTCTTGAAAAGTGATACGAACTGTATTGTCCTCTGTAAAATAGCTCCTTAACAGTTATAACATTTATTGCAGTGTATGAAAACCATAGTAGCATGTAGCTCTGCACTGCTCACAGAACAGGGAGAATGAACCTCAGCCCCTCAAGGCATTTGGATTCAAACTCCTATCGTCCCCAGCCTGCATGCCCAATGATAAGAGATTATGGGGCTGTTGTCCCCAAACTAGCTCTGCGAGGTAAGCATATTCTCCTCTAGTCAATAGAAAAATATTCCATCTTTTGCTAAAAAGGAATTATCCAATCTGATTTGTCCTTTACATCAGCACGGTGGTTTTCCTGCCCCTCATGTCCTCTTTCTTTGGCTATTTCCCTCAGGATGCCTTCACAGCTTTCCACAAGGACGAAGCCTTAGTAAGAAAATACATGAGTTCGCTGCTAATTGGGGAGCTGGCACCTGATCAGCCAAGTTGTGAGCCTACCAAAAATGTAAGCAATCCTCAAAGCCAGAGAAATTTTCATATGGGCTTACCTGATTGTCTTACGCATTGTTCTAAACATGATCCTCCTGTCTCCAAGTCTCCCTGAGGAACCAGTTGCCATTTTCACCTGGAAGATCAGTTGCTGAGGACCAGCTGTGGGAGACTGCTTAAGGCATCATGTCCTACTTCTTTTTTTTTTAACTTTTTACTTTACAGTGGTGCCTTGCAAGACGAGTGCTTCGTTTGACGACGAAATCGCATAACGTTAAAGATTTTGTGATCGCAAAAGCGATCGCAAAACGATGTTCCCTATGGGCTTGTTTCACTTTGCGATGATCGGTTCCCTGTTTCGCTAACCGATTATTTCAAAATGAAGATTTTCGCACAGCTGATCGGCGGTTTCAAAATGGCCACTGGGTAAAAAAATGGGCGCCCGCTGTTTTCTGGGACGGATTCCTCGCTGCACAGGCAGCGAAAATGGCCAAGCTATGGAGGATCTTCACTGGACGGTGAGTTTTGAGCCTATAGGAATGCATTGAAGGGGTTTCAATGTGTTTCTATGGGCTTTTTAAAATTGCTTTACGATGTTTTCGTTCTACAGTGATTTTGCTGGAACAAATTAACATCGTAATGCGAGGCACCACTGTATTTAGCTTTATACCCCGCCCCTCTAGACAAAGTCTACTCGGGGCGGCTGACAAAAAATGATAAAATACAATAGAATAATATTATTACTAAAACCTAATAATACAACAGCTAACTAGAGGATATATACATTATCAAGATGGGAACTTAAAGAAACGAAATGGTTAATTGACGGGAGGGAAGGCCTGCCTAAAGAGCCAAGTTTTTAAATGGCTTTTAAAAACACCCAGAGAGGGAGCCAGGCGGATTTCCGTTGGTATAGTATTCCACAGCGGAGGGGCCACTGCCAAGAAGGCCCAGTTTCTTGTTCTTTCTTTCTGGGCCTCTCTTGGCGTGAGGCCCCTCAGCCATCCCTGCTGGCTTTGTCGGGTGATTCGAGTAGACCTGGGTGGGAGAAGAAGATCTGCCAGGTATCACTTCAATGATTATCATAGGGATCTGTGTTGGCTACTGTGAGAAACATGTTGATAGGCACGAGGGCTCATCTAAAGCACTGAGGTAATATGAATGAGAAGTGTTCAATGACAACTAAGTTTAACTGCTGTGACTTCTTACAGGAAATGCTGATACATGATTTTCGTGAACTCCATAGCACAGTGAAGAGGATGGGACTCCTGAAGACCAGTTTTCCCTTCTTTATCTTCATGTTTCTGCATGCTTTCCTGCTAGACATTGCCTCCTGGCTCATCATTTGGTACTTTGGAAACTCCTGGGTACCCTTCTTTTTGGGTGTAGCAGCATTCACCACTGCACAGGTAATGTAGCTGCATTGCTGGATTTCATGAGATTGTAGACCATTCTGCAGATCCAGATTTCTAAGGAAAAAAATGGGGATGGGGTGGGATCATGACAGAACGTGCAGCCCTCCAAGGTCCAGGACTGGGCACATGCTGACCCCTGAAGGTTACCTATTCCTACTGAGGCTGGTGGAATTTTTTAAAGGGTGCGGTGCTCATCCCCGCTTCCATGCCATAGAGCCAGCGTTTGTCCGTAGACAGTTTCCGTGGTCACGTGGCCAGCATGACTAGACACAGAACGCCGTTACCTTCCCACTGAGGTGGTACCTATTTATCTACTCGCATTTACATGCTTTCAAACTCCTAGGTTGGCAGTAGCTGGGACAAGCGATGGGAGCTTGATCTTACGACTGCTTGGTCTTCTGACCTTGCAGCACAGAGGCTTCTGCGGTTTAGCCCTTTATAATGTATGTTGGTCAAAAAAGACAAAAATGACTGAGGTTTAAACCTTGACAGTCACATGAAAATGGGAGTTGCCATGGTCTTCCATACCGTAAAGCCAGAGTGAAAATGGAAGTAATGCTTTTATACCAAAGGTCAGTGAAGCTGATCCTCTCCAAAGTTGAAGCCTCTAAACATGGCCGCCACCCTGTGGGTTAAACGCAGGGTTATGTGGTCCCAAATATACTGGTATACATGCTTCTCTTACATTCACGAGTTGTATCTGGATTTTGACGCATTATATTTGTGAGGAAAGCTGTGTTCTTATTGCCACATGAACTAAGACCATGGCCATTATAAAGAGATCCCACACTGTCCCCTATACTATTAGCTTTGTGGGAACTGTCATGTTCATGATGACGGTGCCCATGCTTCAGTTTTATTCTCAAATGTTTGGGGGGTCACCGAGACACGGGCACTGAGTGTAGGACAGCTGCTACTGGTGTAACAACGTGTATAAGGAAAGCTATGGTTGTTCTTCCCAAGTGCTGATGAATGCAACTAACACAAGGATGTAAAACACATCAGCTTATTTTGGATGTTGCTTCTTCCATTCCAGATCCAGTATGGATTCCTTCAGCATGATCTTGGGCATGTTTCAGTCTTTCAGAAACCCAAGTGGAACAGACTAGCTCACCTCTTTGTGGCAGGAATACTTAAGGTACGAGCCCAGTACTAAGACTTTTTTTTTTGTTTGAATATGCATCCAAATAAACCAAGCCTGAATCAGTTCAGCAGCAGAACATCCAGGGAGGCTAAAATAGTCTCCCACTAGTTCCTCAATGTCTCCCTTTGTGCAGTTTCTTCTTTTTTTAGTTATTTTTATCAATTATGATTTTGATTTTAGTTTAGACATTAGAAGTAAGTGGCTGTATCAGGAATAGGTATGTGACATGATTCTTGCCATAAATACATAGATTTAATTAAAAAACAATCTATGCAGGGCGGCCCACCCAGCTGGTGGAAGCACATGCACAATCAGCACCATGCCAAACCCAACTGCTTCCGCAAAGATCCTGATCTCAACATGCACCCACTCCTCTTCAGCCTGGGGAAGACCCTCTCTTTAGAGGTGAGTCAACAGGAACCCTGCAGATGGTGAAACACGTAGCAAGGGAAACACAGATGCCAAACGAAACCCATCCTCATAGTTGGAGGTGAATGGCTTGCTCTGTCTCCAGGATGCCTCCGTCTGCTTCATCCTCTTCCTGCAATAACCTGTAGGGGGTGGTGATGATGGTGGTGGTGGTGTCTGTTTGTCCATGTAAAAATACACCTGAATGTGATTTATCATAAAGCACTCATTTCTGGGAATTCCCCAACTCTTTCCTGAGTCAGAAAGCAAAGTGCCGCCCTATCCCACTTGCTATGATATCATTACCTTCCTTGGTATAGAAGGAAAACAAGGAATCAGCTGTGGTGGGACTTGTGTTCTCTTAGCCCCCTCCCACCCAAAAAGAAGGATGGAGCAGCAGCAGCAGTGATCCATGCCCCTACAAGCATGCAGTGCACACACTGTCAGGAAGGAGCCCAGGTGTAGCAGTGACAGTGCCCTCACCTGTCCAAGAACACCTGTAGCTGCAGCATCCAAACTACCACCGTCTTCAAAAGTAGTACAGAGTTGGCTTTTTCTTTGTTCAGTTTAATCCCAGGCTCTGAGGGGTTTGCAAAGCCAGGCAAAATGGAAGGACTTGGAAAGTTGCCTTCAGAAAACCAAGATAGGCAATTTTCCAGACCCTTTCATTGTACCTGGCTCCAAGGGCCCTCTCAAAGGAATCTGCAAAGCATTCCTCCCTTAAGAAGCAAAACATTTATAGGGTTCTCCTCTCTGAAAAGCATCAATATTAATCTACATCCCACTACTCATTGTCCACTGGTGGACAACTACAGTGGCTTTTTAGCTGAGAACCACTTGGCTTGCTAATGTCTACCATTTCCTTAAAGTCTTTCACACGTCATTGTCCATGGGAGGTCAATAATGTTTAACTTTTTGTCCTGAACTGCAAAGAATCAAAACTGCAGCCTAACTACACTTTTGCTCTCCATTTCCAGCTTGGACAGAAGAAAAAGAAATACATGCCATACCAACACCAGCACAAATACTTTGTCCGTGAGTATTTTTGTTCTCTGGCAAGGGGATGCTAAATTTGATCCTTCTTCTCCATCATCTTTGGGTCAAATTATATGTTGAAGGGTGGTGAATATGTAGTCAATTTCTTTTTCTTCCCACAAAAAAGATTCACTCAGATTGAAATACAAGATACGTAGCTGAAGTAAATCATACGTTATTATCAACATAGTTCTTTTGCACCTTGGAGAGCAGCTCTACACAAAAGGGATACATCTGTTGTCTTGCTTGACCTCCAGTGGATTAGGACAATAGTATGTGGGATGAATGGCTGGAGGGAGGGAGATTTAATACAGTGGCAAGCATTAATTTGCAAATATAACTTGGGAGAGGAGGGGAAATCTCTCACAGATACTTTTGGTTCAGACTTAACTTCAAGCAATTTACAACTAAAGAAAATTAACAAGATTTGTATTGTTCTTGCTTTCTTTTTTCATAACAGTTCTGGCCCCAATGACATTTGTTGTCTTTGTGCAACTGATTATATTTCGTTTTTCCATTACAAGGAGAAAATGGGTGGTAAGTAAGCAACTGCAAAAATCTTGGCACAATTTGTCCTCCGATCTACAGTAAGGGACCTTAAACTATGTGTGTAAGAGACTGATTGTACCATTGGTGTCCACAGCCCATCACTGGGGACACAACAAAGAAACATCTTATTCTTTCATTCATGCCTTACATAAGACAACTAGAAGAATCACTCAAATATGAAGGAAGAAAGATACATTACACTGGGCTACTGAGGGGGCAGCCCTGTTGACACCTCCAGCACAGTGAATATTCAGGGACTGGAATAACATTGTTTTTTTAACCTACGATGCTGTCTAGGTCACCCCATCCCCTCATCAGCTTAACCCCAGCCGTGTCAGTCAAATATCTTGCTTCTGAAGAAATACATGAACAAGAGAATCTTTAGCAAGCCTTCTGAAGAAATCACTGGGGACACAACAAAGAAGCATCTTATTCTTTCATTCATGCCTTACGTGAACAAATACGTGAACAAGAGAATCTTTAGCAAGCCTTCTGAAGAGTTCCATAGTTATACTGAAGACATAACGAATGCCCAAAGTTGGGCCACAGGATATTCAGGTGGTTAGGTGTGGCAGTAGAGGAGAAAGCAAGCACTTAACCAGGTCAACAGTGACTTTTGTAATTAGCTGAGAGGTGTCAATCAGTGAAAGTCCCACCCTTAAGTGAAGAATAATAACTCACAGTGCTAAGAGTTCTCTGTCTGGAGCCACTTCATTCTTCCACTAAATTCACGTTTGGGAGCTGTGCAATAGTGTTTATAGTCATCAGTGGCATGGTAGCCTATGGGAGAAACAGTTTATAGATCACCATTTATGTTCTGTGGTTATTTCTTCTGAAAAGAAGATTATTTTAATTGTTACCATGATTCCGCAGAGACAAAACAATTGAACTCTGGCATCTGCCCCAGGTGGCCACAGTCGTTAAAGAGATGCCCCTTGAACTGTTTTGTTCCTCCAGAATTTCCTGTCCTGAGTTAATATGAAACAGCAAAGTGTAGCTGTGTATATCAGTGTCATTGCAAGATGATGACAATGGCGGCAGTGGTAGTGATTTTACAGGATGGAGAAAAAAAGCAAAAAAAAAAAAAAATCCTGTGTGTGGAAAACACACAAAAAGACAGATGGCCTTGCACTGTACAGTATATGTTGACAGTCCCTTGAAACAAAGTCTGGGAGACTCCCGGAAAATTCTGAGAGAAATTCCTATCATTTTGAATTGAGCCATTTTGTTTCTATCCATAAGAGGTCTGTTTATTTTGAAGCTTTTAAAACATCTGTCCCATGGCCGACGTGCCACTGCTACTGATCCATTTCATGACACTGTGACTGTTCTTCTTGTTAACATGATGTTTCCTACATGCAAACATGCCTCCGAGCCAAGCAGCCTCACTGTCGTGCAGTTAGTAGAGATGAACCTGAGAAAGGCAGCAAACTTCCATTCTTTTTATTGCCTTAATACTGTTTTCTTGGCAGGAACTCATCCTTACTGTGACCTACAATATCCGTGTCTGTCTCATGTTCATTCCTTTAATGGGATTTAAGAGTTTCATGGCCTACTACTGGCTGTCCAGGTAATAATCGTTGTGTGAAACATTCTTCTGCGTGACTGCTGCTGTGATAAAAATAGATTATGGGAGTGTGAGATGAGATGTACCGTGTCTCTGGGTGTAACATGTGGCTTCCTCACATCTGAAGACTTAAGACAGCTAGGCAAGATAAGACTTACGTAATCACACCACCCTGAACAAGATCGTGATGATGATCTCGTCCGTACTGAAGAAACTGCCTGAGAAGCTCTCTCAGGCATCACAGGCCAGGTTGTGCTTGGATGGAATCCTACTGATTTTTGTGTAAGATAAGCATAACTTGCCTTTTTTAATTGCAGCTTGTTGATGAAGTGCCAGGGAGCATTCTAACTTGCACAATTGGATGTATGACCAGGCAAGGGACTGATACACACTCTAGAACCTTATCAGATAGTCACAATTAACTAACAAAAGTTATGTGAACCTTACACTAACACCAGTCAGATTCTGGCCAGTGTTTTTGACCTAGAGACTTTGAAATCATATTAGAACCTTGCCTTATGTTGGAACCCTTGCTTACAAGAGCTGTAGAAAATCAACGGACAATAGACTATAATTTGTTGACAGTGGACACTTGTGTACATCACAGTAAGCCAGAATTTAAGGAAATCGTGGTTTATCATGAATAAGCCAATACGCTGATAGGCAAGCACTCCAACTACAAGGGGAAGCAATTTAGCAAACCATATGTAGTTCTTTGTACAACATCCAAACCCAGCAGTCTGGCTTTGTGTCTAGCCCCCCCCCTCAAAACTACATGAAATAGTCCACAGGCTGGGAGGTATTTTGGGTGTGGTGGAAGATTATATCTCTGTGTGTGTCTAGGTTGTCCCCCTCCCTCTGGAGACAGTTGAAGATGATCTTTTTCAGACAGGCTTTTAACAACTAATTGGCCACATTTGATCTTGATTGCTGAATACAGTTATTATTTGATGTGTATATGGGGCAGGGTGTATGTGAAGACGTTTTTAACAGTTTCCAGTAATTGTTTTGATACTGTTGTAATTTTAATTGTTTTAGTATTATATATTGTAGTTTTACTGTGTTTTTTAGTTATTTATGAGCCATCTTAGGTCTCCTGATTGGAAGAAAGATGGCAAACAAATGAAAATAATTAAATAAATTTCTTTCACCAGCAATCACATTCATAACGGAGTTTTGAGATGACAGAAAGTAATTTGGAAAAAAAAACCCCACAACTTTTCCTGTTTAGAGATTTCAAAAGAACGGCCCCTTTCACTTTTCCATGGAGTGCATCTGCTCATCTCCCAATGGATGATGATTGTTGCTCTTTGCCTCCACAGGTTCCTAGAAAGCAACTGGTTTCTCTGGGTCTCACAGATGAACCACATTCCAATGAATATTGATTATGACCAGAACTTAGACTGGGTCTCTGCCCAGGTGAGGTATCATCTTCTTCCACTCCAAGCCACTCATTTAATTTCCTCTTATCAGTTCTTTCACAAGTGGTTTTGGGCTCATGACCACATACTAGCAAAGAGCTACCTGGGCAATGCTATTAATAAGTTGCTCCCGTATATTGTTATATGGAAAACCACAGGCCTTTTATTCCTTTCGGAGTCAGCACATTGTTGTTGGGTTTTTTGCAAGGGAAGGTGGCGCAATTGGCATCTGCAGGTTACATGATGGATGAAGTAGGGAGCAAAGAGAAGTTTATCAGATAAGCTTGCCTGGAGCGCTCATGGCCAAAGAGGGCATACAGGAGAGACAGAAGAGGCCATCGGAGTGGAGTAAGGAGCATTCTTAATAGCTGAAGCGAAGGATGTTGAGATGACATTTGCCAAGTCAGCAACATCCCATTCCTTGAAAACTGGGGGCCAAAACCTGAGACCATAGAGTAGATCTTGTTAGATCACAATGTCATGGCAAGCAAAGGTTGGGAGGATTGGCAGAACTGCTTCCGGACTGGCTGACTGTGCAAACAGTATAAGGTGAAAAGATTTGAAATATGGTAAAATGCAGTTAGGATGGCAACCTAGAGCCAGGATGCCAAACGTACAGTACTTAGCAGCTGCTGCAGCGATTCTGGGCTATGGTACCAATATGATACATGACACAGGTGGAGTTTTTCCAAGCCCAGCTTTGCAGCTGAGTGAGTGAGCCTTGGCAACAGCTAGATAGAAGCCGGTAGGGAGCACTTTGACCAAATATGTGCAGATAGGGCCAGAGACTACGCAGCAGCCTGCCATTATTAACTGGGGTCAGTTTCAGCTATATTGTTGGTAAGTTGCAAGGTACCAGCTGGAATCTCAGGCAACTGCTCCGCTTCTTCAAGTCTTCAGAGCTCAGCATTGCTGGAACGGGGAGGAGGGGGGGGTCTGACGTTTGTCTGTGTGCTCAGCTGCAGTGCTCCTCTCTGCCCTTGGCAAATATATGCAAGTTCCAAGTGCCTGAATGGGGCAACAGCAGTCAAGCAGAGAGGAAACTATGGTTGGCAATGCAACAGTGTTTAAGTACTGTGTCAACTGTAAAGATAATGATGGCAACACCTCTTTCTCCCTTAGCTTGCAGCAACGTGTGATGTGGATCAGTCCTGGTTCAATGACTGGTACACGGGGCACCTGAACTTCCAGATTGAGCATCAGTAAGTAGAAGATATGGGGAGAGAGTCACTGGAATTCTAGACATTATACAACGTGGAAATGTTTGGAAAAGGCATTCCTGGAAACGAGAGGCTATGATCATGTTAACGGCGAAAGGGCGAGGGGTCTTTAGCTGGGATGGGATGTTCCTTGCCTACCCAAGGCACTGCTCATATTTCCCTTGACACCCTCCTTTGCTCTCTGTCCCCAGCCTTTTCCCAACGATGCCTCGGCACAATTATTGGAAGGTTGCTCCTCTGGTGAAATCCCTCTGTGCCAAGCATGGCATTCGGTACCAGTGCAAGACCCTGCCCACAGCCTTTGCAGACATTTTGCAGTAAGTGCCTTTGAACTGGGAGGTTCTGAGGGAAGGAGCATCAGTGGGGGGTGGAGGTGGGGGGAATGCCGTGGCAACATGGGATGGGCCCATAGGGCTAGCCGCCATGTGTGTGAAAGGTTCGGGGGGGGGGGGATTGGACTACAGTTCCCAGGATCCCACAGCCAGCATGGCCACTGAGGAGTCTGGAAACAGTAGTCCCAAAAAAAAAAATCAAGCATTTTCCATCAATGGGTGGTATGGGTGGAGAGTCAAAGAGCTGCCATCTGTGTGATTAATTGGGTGCTTTTCGACCTTCCAACTGCAGCACCCTGAAGGAGTCCGGGGAGTGCTGGCAAGATGCTTATTTCCACTGATAAGAAGAGGAAGTACCTCAGGCAAAAATCAGGATGCTCTATGCTGTCATCACAGATCAGAAAGTGGAGGCACTGAGGGCGTATTCTGTTTGTCTTGTGATGTATGCAACACTTACATTTTTACTGAGGAGAGATGACAAACGCCAATGAATTGTTTCCACTAAATGCTCTCAGACAGCCAATCCCACTGATGAAATGGGGAAAATAGCGGCTTACTTCATAGGGATATTTGGACAGTGAATGTAATAGTAACAGGGGAACAATCACTTATTTTTAATTGTTCTTACCAGGAGAGGATTGCATGCAAATATTATTTCTGGGATTTGCCTCAGAGGGCAAATCATAGTATGGTAGCAGGTCATCCTCTGACATTAACATTTGAACCCTACTACCCATGTATAAATGTATATAATTTGAATATGGCAACATCAACCCCGCATTGATCAGAGAAAGTGAGGTGGACATGGCCAAGACTGCAGTTGCCAAGAAAGAACATGTGAGAGGCCCCTTTCCTGGAGCTCCTGATTGTCTTTGACAAAGTCATCTCAGAGGGTAAGGAAGTGGCAGCCCTTCCATTGTGTTTAGATCCACCTTCATAACCTGCTGAATCCCTGCTTGCAGATGTGATAAGCTTTGGAGGGCAGACTGATAAAAGCCATTTTACAGCCTAAATGTAAGACTCCATACTGTACGACTGACTAGGAAAACCGTAGAGGTGGGTGAGGTCTCCATATAGAGTTTACATGCATTGAACAGATATGGAAAAGCAACTTGCTGGCAAATTATAGTCTGCTACTTCTGTTTTCATTACTATCATCATTTTGTTAATCATTGATGGGCAGCTTTATTAGTAATCATTACATGTTTGTTTTTTAAATGATATCATTGTTTTGTTTTGTTTTATGATATATTGTCACCAAGCATAGGAGTGAAGAAAATACAGAAAGTTAGAGCATACTGTTAATAAAAACAAATAAAGTGTTTTACAAGAAGTTCAAATTCATTTTTAAAAGGTCTTTTACACACACACACACACACACACACACACACACACAGCACTTCACAATCCCCTTTATTTTAAAAGGTCTTTTACACACACACACACAAAGTCATCAACACTGGAGAATATTCAATAAAGATGTACTTAAATTTAGATCTCAAATTACTCTGGTACCAGCATTTCACGATCCCCTTTAAAAGGGCCAGGAGCTTCTGCTACATGGAAAGTCTTGCCAGTATAAGGACACAGACTTGTGCCACATCTGCAAACTCAGCTGTTGTGTAAGTGGTGATCTTCATAGGAAAACCTGTTCTTCATATGCCGATGACCGTCCTTGTACAAGCTGCAGATTTCACATTAGTATACTCTCTGCTAGATCTAAAGCTTAGCAAATGTTCAGTGAGATATTGAGCGTGCATGCAAATGAAGAGCTGAGTGGGCAAAGGGGGGGGGCTGATCTGTTTCTGGGTTGCACCTACCTAGTCAGTGCTGCCCAAGCTGAAGGCTGATGTGCGGTGCAGTCCTACAACATGTGGTTGGCAACACATTCTCCACCCTTGCTTAACAGCCTTGCAAAGGCAGCAATTCTTTGCTCAGCATTCATATATGTATGTACACATGGGTAACAGTACCCAGACCAAAGGCATCTCTAATATCATGACGGGATTACTTTTTGAACAATCTGCATTGCAAAGAAGTCACATTTTCTTCTCCTGTGCTTGACTCCGAAAGCTTTAAAATCAGTTTCTTCTAAGTTTAGCATCCCAGTTTCTCCTGTGCTTCATGAATGCAAGATTTTGAAAACAAATCTTTACTTGCAGCTGAATGTTAATTATTGTTATGCCCGGAGAGTGCTTGTAGCGCTATGGGGCGGTATATAAGTCCAATCAATCAATCAATCAATAACAGTACCTAATATCGTGACGGGATTACTTTTTAAACAATCTGAATTGCAAAGAAGTCACATTGTCTTCTGTGCTTGACTCCGAAAGCTTTAAAATCAGTTTCTTCTAAGTTTAGCATCCCAGTTTCTCCTGTGCTTCATGAATGCAAGATTTTGAAAACAAATCTTTACTGGCAGCTGAATGTTAATTATTGTTAGTTTATATTACAAAGTGGCCAAATCAGCATCTTCTGATTTTACTTAACTTAAATCTTTACTTGCAGCTGAATGTTAATTATTGTTATTTAATTTTTTTTATTTATATCCCGCCTATCTAGTCGATTAAGACCACTCTCTAGTTAGTTTATATCACAAAGTGGCCAAATCAGCATCTTCTAATTTATATTTACTTAACAATTGTGGGAAAAGATTGTGTTGCTTTAGAGTTGTTGCTTTGCCCCATTGCACAATTTCTTAGTACTGTATGTCCAAACATGGGGAACTGAAGGCTGAAATTACTTTCTTCTCAGAGGTATTTCTTCCAAACTTCACAAAAACCAAAACTCTGACACCCCTATTTTAATTAATGCCTTTATATATTTACAACATGTTCAGCCTTCCTTTCTTGGTGTACTGCCTACACAATTGGTATACAAAATGGAAAAAACTGTGACCATAAAATTATAATTAAATAGGCACAACAGTAGCATCAGAAGATTTTTATGCATTAAATACAGACTGGAATAAATACAGTGGTGCCTCGCTAGACAAATTATAATTAAATAGGCACAACAGTAGCATTAAATAAAGACTGGAATAAATACAGTGGTGCCTCGCTAGACAATGATAATCCATTCCACTGAAACTGCTGTTTAGCGAAATCATTGTCTAGCGAAAAGCATTTCCCTGTTGAAACCTGTTTAATGCGTTCCAGTGGGGAATATTCGTTGTTGCCTAGCGAAGATCGGCCATAGGAAAGCCGCTTTGCGAACCGCCGATCAGCTGTTTAAATAGCTGTCTTGCGAAGCTTAGGTCCTGAAAACACCTGTTTTGCAAGCGCGGAGGAAGCTGTCAAAATTGTCATCTAGCGAAAATCAGTTTGCAAAGCAGGGACCAAACATTGTCCAGCGAAATTCCCCCATAGGAATCACAGTTTTGCGAATCACTATAGCGATCGCAAAAAGCCAATGTGTAGCGAAAAAACTGTCATGCAGGGTAACTGTCTAGCGAGGCACCACTGTATGTCTCAAATACTTTTTTTGAAAACAGCATGGTAACACCATAGAGGTCTCCTGAAGGAGGGGGTTCAGAAGATGTGGGACCACCATCAAGAAAGCCTATGCCCTGAATTTCAACCCATAACCTGCCACCTGGCTTTTTCCTCTTTCAACAGTTCTTAGTTGTGTGTTCAATATTTGCAGCTGCTGTTGTTTGTTTCCAACTCTGTGATTAGGATCAATACCTCCGTGGCTGGGATGGAAAAGCTCAGTTTGTGGCTGGTCTGATGTAGGATTTTCATAGGTCAGCAATCCCACAAGAAATAATTTCTATTTTTTAAAAAAGGCAGTTCAGCAGTGACAATGTTAAGTGCATGGCTGCAGAATCACTGTGTTAACTTCAGGGTTTCCTAGGTAGAGAGTACTCAGAAGCGGTTTACCCTCCCCTTCTTCTGGGAGCATCCTGGGACCGTACAGCTTGCCCAAGGCCATAGAGTCATCCTGGGACTGTACAGCTTGCCCGAGGCCATGGAGTCACAGAGTGAAATTGATATGTGGAAACTGAAGTGTGAAATCGATATGTAGAAATTCATTCACAGATTTATAGGCATTGGGAGTGGCTAGATCATGAGTGAGATTCATTACTTCATTGCTTCTTGTATTATGAAATTATGAAACTGTTCCAACATGATCCCACACTAATCACTGAGTAAGGAGTGCCAATTGTGCTCAGGTTCCATCTTGGCTTTGCTAGTTGAAAGGGCATTTGGTCACCTCCATTCCAACTCTTATGTCTGATGAAGCCAACTGGCCCACGAAAACTCAAATTAGAATATAGCAGTTAGTCTTTTTTAAATTTTCCTTTGGTTTTTGCCTGATACGCCCATGGCAACTAGATCTCTTCAGTTCATTTAGACATTACACCTTAAGGCACTGAACTGTAGAGCCTTCCCCTTCATCACATTATTGCATAATGCAAAATCTGCATTAAAAAAACTCACTATGTAAAAACCTTTAGAGTGATGCACCACTTAATTCTGTAACCAGCAAGAAATAATTGGGGAGCATCAAAGCCCCAAAGTAATTTTTGTGTATATGACATGCCCTGTATTTTATGCGAAACAATCCTGAAAGTACCCTCAAAACTGGGTGAAATTTAATAAGCCAGTTAGAATAAAATAATCAGACTCCTCCAAAGGCCTTCAAAGTGATTTTTACCTATGGCTCTGTGGTGGAACCCTTATCTGTTTTGCCCAGACTTAGGGCTGGCAGAAGGAGAATCAATCCAGAGAAGAAATATAAAAGAGAGAGCTGGAGAGGATGGTGAGGAGAAGCGGTGCCAAAGAAAGGGAGTTTGGGTTTCAAGCAGGCTGTATAACACCTTGTAACAGGGAGAGCTGGGTCTGGTGTAGAAAATGTGACGCTTATAATTCATGTAACCCCAAGCTTAAGAATGTGCAGTTTACGAGTTGCTATGCTTCAATAAAAAAAGTTATTTTTGTATTTCACTTTAAAAACCACTTGGACTCTTATGATTTGGGCTTAAGGTAAGCCCAGGGAAAATAAAGGATAGTTTAAAGGTGATTAGCAGGTTAGGGCTGGTCACAGGCTCATAGGCTCCATTTCATGTTATCCGAAACCTATACTCTGAATTTGATGATAGTCCTGCCAGCCCTTTTCTCACAATCTTGTAGTAAATGGGCAGACAGAGACCTAAGGTCATTAGGAAAGTGCCTGCTGTCCCGTGGTGGTAGTGGAAGGGGGGGGGGGCTGAGAAAGGGGGAAGAGACTGGGTTTTGTTTTAAAAGTGTACCAAAGTAGGAGAGGACTAGCAATTCCAGGTGTCATGGTGCTGGCCAAAGTCCCCAGGGAGGAATTGTGATGATTCTCTGGGTCTCCA